TCGCCGTTCCGCCGCCCACAACTAACGCAGGCCCCAGCGCCCTGCGATTTTGGTCCTTCGTCGCCTCCTGTTGACACCAGCCCGCAACACTCCAGGCGGATCATCTTCATCAACCACATAAGTACCCAAAGCCCAAATAAAGCCGTAAGTAAGAAACGAATTTCTTTTAACCCCACTTACGCCCAAAAAGGAAAAAAAATACACATACATATATATATAAAACAAGCAATATTTGTGGAGATCTCCTATATAAATATTCATATTTTCCCGCGCAATCAGCAAACGGTGCATATTTCTATATGTACTTTCGAACAAAGTGAAAATAACTGCGAGTATTTACTTCTCTCTCATTTTTTTTCCATACATAAATTTTAATATATGAGCGCGCATACATATATGCACACACACAAACGTTCACTTAAATATTAAATAGTTAAAAGTTAATAAACTCCACAAATATCAGCTTATCTCTGACCCCTCATAAAATATTAATATATACTTATATACCTATACATATATACATTACATATATACAAATATAACAAAGTGCGGTAGGGTGATTGAATTTTTTGCTCAGGCGGGTACAGTGGTACGAACACATATTTCGAAGCGACAAATTTTTCTATTACTTCTCGTGTTGCGAACACTATATTGCGGTCATTTTAGTTCTCATAACTGATCAACTCACCCCCCTTTTCTCTTGATTTAACAAATGCTTGGTGCCCCTCAAATAGATAAATCAAAAAGCCCAAAGATGAGTGACGATGAAAAAACCCAAGGTACTTCCACGGAGTCCCAACGCTCAACGCGTACAAGTGGAAAGTCAGCCACGAAGAAATCCAAGCAGTCGTTCGCTTCTATTAAATTTATATCAGAAACAGATAATTTCATGGACTACTGTACTCGTTTCAAGTCCACCCCAATCCAAGACAACACCGAGTCTAGTCTGAAAATAAAAGACAATAATTGCGATAACTTTTGGAATCGGGTCCAAATCTCTTACGATACGGTCTTAGAAACTGAAGATCAGGATCTCCCCGAAGATTTCAAGTCAGCCGCGTACAATAAATACAGGTCTTGTCTTATAATGTATGAAGACACAAAAGCCCAGATAGGTGACCAACTTCTGTTACTCAAACAAAGGAGTAATCCCATTCCCCATGCCGGTACATCACAACCCAAAGAAGAAACAGGCTTCGGCTTAAAAGTCCCTCCTTGCGACACTGAGATATTTTACGGGGGTTATGAACAATGGCCGTCCTTCCGTGACATGTTCACCGCGGTCTACATTAACCACCCAAAACTCACAAATGCTCAGAAGTTGTACCACCTCAGGTACAAAACGCAAGGCAAAGCCGGCCAAATAGTCAAACAATTCCCGTTAAGTGATGACAACTTCGAACTGGCATGGGAAGCCCTAAGAGCACGATATGAAAATCGCAGAGTCTTGGTAGATAACCAAATAAAAACCCTAATGAATTTGAAACCAATTCAAGTTGAAAATAGCGAGGATATACAGAGATTACAGTCTTCTGTAAATAACTGCCTTCAAATCCTCGCTACCCAGCAAGTTTCGACAGAGAGTTGGGACCCCATCCTCATCTATCTGGTCACCTCCAAACTTCCGGAGAACACAGTAACTCTGTGGGAACAATCTCTCATCTCCAGAAAAGACCTCCCCAACTGGTCCCAGATGAACCAGTTTCTGACTACTCGCTATGAGGTGGTAGAAAGGGTAGATCAGTGGCGCCCAGCCAAGGTTAAATCGATCCCCCCTCATACAAGCTACCCCAAACAAAACCCATACGCATTTAAAAGCAATAATTCACATGACACTCACAATAAATCCCATTCAAAGATCCAATCTCATATGACAGAGCAGCGCACAATGTATAAATGTGCATTATGCAAAACCTCTCAGCATCCCATTTACAGCTGCTCTCGCTTTAAAAAACTGTCAATTCAGGATCGGAAAAAATTTGTGAGAGATAATCACATGTGCTTAAACTGCTTATCCCAATCGCATTTAATTAAAGATTGCAGAAGCCCTCACAATTGCGCTCATTGCCAAGAACGGCACAACTCATCACTCCATGATGACGCACTCTCAAAAAATTCATCAACTCCCCGAGTGCATAGGGCCTCATCTCAAGTGGCAACTACCACCTCCACCAGTGCCAGTCTCCAAACTCCCCAGTCTCTGGAAGAACAAGACGAGCAACCATTGTGTTCAAATAAGTCCCAGGTACAATCCTTCTACTCCGAAAATGAAAGTAAAGTACTACTCCCGACGGCAATCGTCTCCGTTGAACACAGAGGGGAACTCTTCAAACTAAGAGCCCTCATTGATCAGGGCTCAGAACGGAGCTTCATCTCCTCCAAAGCGCAACTCAAATTGAGACTACCATGTCGAACCTCCAATTTCGAAATCTCAGGAATGGGTGGAAGGGTAGTCCAAACCTCGAAAAAATTATGCTCTCTGGTTCTTGTCTCAAACGATTTATCTACACGGATTAAAGCACAAGCAATTGTCCTCCCACAGCTAACCAAATTGCTACCCAAGTTCCAACCCACTCAAGAACAACGGGAAAAATGGTCTCATCTCACCTTAGCAGACGCCAATTGCCACTCCCCATCCCAAATAGACTTAGTCATTGGCAGCGACCTGATCCCACAAATTGTGCTAGAAGGGGTTGAAAAACTCTCCAAGAACTTATTAGCACAAAACACCATATTTGGGTGGATCCTTAGTGGTCAAGTCCCCAATCAAATAAGCTCGTTTTCGACCCAAGTAGACGAAGTCTTAAATGAGAATCTCGATTCCCAACTTCGAAAATTTTGGGAACTTGAAGAAATCCCCACTCCCAAATCTCTCAACTCTGAGGAGCGAGTGTGTGAAGATTTTTATATATCCACCACATCACGCACATCTGATGGTCGTTACGAAGTGCGACTCCCATTTAAGCACAGTTTCCCAGACCAACTCACCTTAGGTCGATCCCGTGCCCCAGCTCTCCAGCAATTCCTCAGTATGGAGAAAAATCTTCTCAAAAAAGGCGAGCTAAAATCCCAGTACGACCAAGTCCTCGAGGAATATATAACACTAGGTCATATGGAAGAAACAACTTCCTATGAGAAATCCTCAGGAAACAAATACTCGTCATTTTATTTACCCCACCACGCGGTTGTAAAACCTGAAAAAAGAACGACAAAGGTGCGTGTTGTCTTTAATGCATCGAAAAAATCAACTTCCGGTAACTCGTTAAACGATGTCCTCTACACCGGGCCAACCCTCCAACCCGATTTGATGCTATTAATCCTCAAATGGCGCACGTACCAATTTGTCTTTAATGGCGATGTAGAAAAAATGTACCGCCAAATACTATTACACGATGAGGACCAAGATTACCAGAGAATCATATTTCGCTCCTCCCCAAAAGGTCCAATTCAAGATTTCAAACTAAAAACCGTCACGTTTGGCCTCAACTGCGCCCCTTATCTCGCAATACGCACCCTTCACGAACTCTCTAAAGATATAAAAGACACACTCCCGATGGCGTCCCCAATACTAATGAGCGAAACATATGTAGACGACATACTTTCGGGTGGGCACTCCATCCTCTCAGCCTCTGAATCCCTTTCTCAAGTCAGACAAGCTCTTCTGTCGGCAGGCTTCCCCCTTAAGAAAATCACGGCCAACCATCCTGATATCCTCAAAACCGTTCCCATCGCCGACGTGCTCGATTCACAGTTTCTCGAATTCGAAAAGGCAAGTACGACGAAAACGCTCGGGATTCAATGGAATGCCATAAAAGATGCATTCTCATATACCGTTGAGTCCATCCCAGTAACCACAGCGAGCACGAAGCGACAAATCCTCTCCTCTGTCGCCAAACTTTTCGACCCCGCAGGATGGCTAGCGCCGATAATGATTCAAGCCAAAATTCTCTTGCAGGAGCTATGGCTTGATGGAACCGACTGGGATGAACAGGTAAAACCCATCCGTCTCGTCAAGTGGACGCAGTTCGCGAACAACTTAAAAGCCATAACAGCAATCCAAATTCCTCGTTGGGTGAACTATTCTCCAGGCCAACCTGTTGAGCTGCATGGTTTTTGCGACGCGTCTGAGAAGGCATATTGCGCCAATATTTACGTCAGAGCGATACGAGAAGAAAACATAACGTGTCACCTCCTAGTCTCTAAAGGCAAAGTGGCGCCCCTAAAAACCACCAGCTTACCACGTCTCGAACTATGTGGAGCCCTTCTTCTAGCCAAACTAGTGTCGGTCGTCCAATCCCAGCTCCATCTCCACCCGCAAGCTTTGATTTTGTGGTCTGACTCCGAAATTGTGCTCTCATGGTTGGAAAAGCCACCCCATACCTGGAAAACCTTCGTATCGAATCGAATCGCGCAAATAATCGATCTGGTCGGAAATGCCACCTGGCGGCATGTACGAACTCACGATAACCCCGCCGACATGGGTACAAGAGGATGTAAACCTCTCGACTTGGCAGCCTCCTCACTGTGGTGGAAGGGTCCGGAATGGCTCACCAGCCCCGCGGAATCTTGGCCGAAAGCTTCACGACGCACAATCAACAATCCACCCGAAGTACGCCGAATTGAAGCGTTACACACCACCGAAGAAGAACCCGACATTCTGGATCGTTTCTCCTCCTTCCCCCGCGCACTCCGGGTTTTGACTCACGTTTTTCGATTCATACGGACTCTGAAAACCCGAACAAACCACATAATAGTCCACCCGTTACCTCTGGCGCACGATGACTTCCGAAACACTAAAGTCCAGCTCATCGCCTTAACTCAATCTCGATATTTCTCCAACGAAAAGAGGAATTTGTTAGCGTCGAAGCCGATCGATAAACGGAGCCCGCTTCTCACCTTAAACCCATTTCTGGACAAAGATGGACTTCTACGTGTGAACGGTCGACTGGCGCACTCAACGCTAAGCTACAATGAACGCCACCCCATCATTATTCCCGAGAAATCCCGATATGCTGCACTCTTTTTACGCTTCCTGCATGAGCTGCTCTTGCACGCCGAAACCCGTCTTATGCAGCAGGCGATCAGACAGGAGTTTTATATCCCTCGGCTCAAGCCACTCATAAAAAAGTGCATCTTTCAATGCAAACCCTGCACTGTCCACAAGCAGCAAATGCGCTCACAAATAATGGCAGCCTTGCCACCCTCACGATGCACCTTCGCTCCGCCCTTCACCACAACGGGTGTTGATTTTGCTGGCCCCTTTCAGGTGAAGGCTTCCATGCTAAGATCGCCCACCCTCGTGAAAGGCTACGTGGCCGTTTTTGTATGCTTCACGACAAAAGCGGTTCACCTTGAGTTGTGCTCGAATTTAACTTCAGAGGCCTTTCTGGCTGCATTTGCTCGCTTTGTTGGCCGGCGAGGCTATCCCGCCACCATGATGAGTGACAACGGCAAAACCTTTGTCGGTGCCAAAAGAGCCACTGAGAAGGAGTTTATCACCTTCTCGAAAGAAGTATCCCGGGAAATCGTCAAAAAATATGCCGCTCAAGGTATAAACTGGAAATTTATTCCCCCCAGCGCCCCTCATATGGGTGGTTTATGGGAATCCGCAGTCAAAAGCTTCAAAACGCATCTCAAGAAGACTGCCGGATCACATAAATTCACTTTCGAAGAGTTTACCACCCTATTAATCAGAATAGAAGCCGTGTTAAACTCACGACCCATCTCTCCCCTATCTCAGGACCCCTCAGATTTTACCGCACTCACCCCCGGGCATTTCCTTAAGGGATCCCCCCTGTTGTCTCTTCCTGAATCGAACCATGAAAACTTATCTCTACTCAATCGGTGGGAAAAGGTCAAAGTTCTACACCATCAGTTTAGCCGACGATGGAAAGAGGACTATCTCAAGGACCTGCACAAACGGCACCGATGGAAAGACACCCGTATTGAGCCGAAAGTCGGCGAGTGCGTCCTCATCAACGACGATACGCTTCCGCCCACTGAGTGGCGCCTCGGACGCATCGAAAGGACACGGCCCGGCCCCGATGGCCACATTCGTGTTGTCGAGGTACGCACTCAAACCGGCATTCTCACACGGCCGATAGTTAAATTATGTTTTTTGCCACCGGCCGAACTTCCACTCAGTCCCAATGCGACCGAGTAACCCTACACCATCATCATGATTCTGTACCACTTATGCCACAAACCGCTTGATCGTAAACTTGTCTCGCCTTCAATCACCATACGCGCCTTTTCCCCAAAATAACAATTATATACTTCTCGGTCTCATGACCCACGATACTCGATATACGTCCCACTAAAATTATATATCTACACAACTATTTACAGGCGTGAATGGATTCAGCACCCACACCAGCACCAAGAACTTCACTCCGCTCGCAGGTGTTTGTGGCCGCTAGCGACCGCGGGGGGCGCCCAAGCCCTGACTATCAGAAGTGCCGAGTTTGCGCGCGTCACCACGCGCTACGAACATGCCCGCTCTTCAGAAGGATGCAGCCAGCGCAGCGGTACTTGTTGGCGCGGGCCCATAACTACTGCACCAACTGTCTGGCACTGTCGCACGCTACCAGCGAATGCACATCCCAGATCACGTGCAGGATATGTGCACTGCCGCACCACACGATGCTTCATCGGGCCCCGCCGCCACCACAGCCACATCGCCGTACCACCGCACCTCCAACTCAAACACCTCCGACACCGGCCTCCCGCTCAAACGCTCGCGATCGTCGCAACCCACCTACCCAGGCCGCTACCCATCGCTACAATCCGACTGCAGCCACCATTCCACAACCACGCACCGTCAAACGTTCGGCAACAGGGCTCCATACCGCTGCATTCCGAGAAAAGATGGCAAATCGGCTTATGGATGAGGCCATTAGAGCGCTGGAGCAGCTGAAAGTGGCACTAGCCGTCTAGCGCGCCTAGGCGGGGCAGGATGTTCAAGTGAGTGACTAGCGCACGCACACCGCATTAACCATTTGTATTTATTGAATTATCTAGACTTGAAATATTTCTACGAATTGTAACTTTGAACTCATAAAAATTAACTCGCACCGTGAAAACCCCCATCAGCCAACCGGGTAGTTGGCAACGCGTGCGCTACTCGCTCACTTGAACTATCACCAGCTGTCAAAACAATATAAATGTACATATATATCTATCTCGTGGACGGATCAGAAAATTTGTTTTCGCTTAAGAATTTTGTAGTTTTTCATTGTTCTACTTGCCCTCGGCATATTCGGTCCGCCCGCAAATTTGTAGTAGCAAAATTGACTAACGTGAATTAAATACAAAGCTTTTTTAAATCGAAATTAGTTCGGTGTTTTATTTCGCTGAGCCAACCCCAACTTTATACAACTCGCGTTGAAACGGTCGCGCGAGTAATAGTGCCCTATCAGTGCCACCGCGTTCCAGCCGCTGTCGGTTGCGTGTCCCCGTGCTCCATCCATAGCGTCCTTGGTGCAGAACGTCCGCCAGTGCCGTACAGCCGCCAACTACACGCCAACGTCGTTCAGCCATCTCCAGACTGCCTTCAGCGCCGTCCAGGAAAATCAACCCATCGCTCCCGGGTGGTCACACCACCTAGCCAGCATCCCCCACAGAGTCGCCGTTCCGCCGCCCACAACTAACGCAGGCCCCAGCGCCCTGCGAAAAATAATAATAATAATAAATTTATAATAAATAACGGTGAGCTACAAAAAGTGAACAAATAAAAACTACAGAATACATAAAACCGTCGTCCGAAACGCAAAACAAGAAAAAAAAAACCAAAATCAATATAAACTAAAAACTATTAAACAAAATCTAAAAATAACGGCGAGAGCAGCATACCTGCGCCGCACAAAAAACCACATCCCCGCTATACCTAGACGAGAAAAGGAAGTTAAAAGGTGCCTCCACCCTAGTGCTGAAATACGCAAGCAGCAGGGACCCACAGGGAGCATCGCTCACACCAATCACAGCGGAGGAAGGTACAGGCGACAAAAAAAAGCATACAGGTGGTACAAAATCAGGAAGCCAAAGTAAGTTTGACCAACATTTAATAATACTTATACATAAAGCACATTAGCGGATTTTTCAAGCCATTATCAAACTGTAATCTAATTCGTTTACCAACGGTACAGGATTTACCGTTTATTCTCTAATTTATATGGAAACCGCTATTTGTCACCCACAGTTTGATAAAGTCCGCTAAAGTGTACTCTCACATACATACATATATAAAACAAACTTACGTTTTACATATGTGCATAAATACTTCCCGCTCAATATCTTCCTTCTCACTGGGTAAACATATCTCGAAACGCCTTTGAGTCTCAATTTCCTCCTGGGGTGGCGTTAAAAATTCCCGCTATTGCACATTTGTAATACGCGCATGTATGTACACATATTCAGCTCTCGCCTAGCTCCCTTTTGCAAAATCGTGAGTTCAAACGTATTTATATACATATGTAACTATATACATAAAACCGCTAACCCAAAAAAGTATATGCGAAGAGTTATATGTACATACGTATATGTACATGTCCCTACAAGAATTGTGTGATGGAAACTAACTCATTCTCATTTATCTTACTAACACATTTGCAAATTTTGCGTTGGTTAAAAAGAGACCAATATATAAGGCCATAAGTTGGAGGAAGACGGAAGATCATATGTACACAAATGTTTACATCAGATTTTTCACACTGCGCTTTAGAATGTGATAGAAACTTGTAGGTAGCCAGTGACAGAAATCTCTATCAGCCTTGCCAGTCAAATGATTTGTCAAATGATGGTCACTGTTCTTGCAGGGGTAAACATACATACACCCTTTGCATCTTTGGTCAGAACTTTTTCCCGCCACTTGATCGCCAGCAATTATTTTACTTATACATTTGTATAGACAAATCCCATTTACATTAGTATATGCAACTTGTGCTCATCGCAATACTTAAAAATAAAAAAAACAAAACATTCCACTTAGCCCTCTTTTTGCGTTAAACTCAACAAAAATAAATTCAGAAAATCTCAATTCTACAAATCAGAGCCACCCTATTAATCAAACGTCCATTTGTACGCATATACACATGTGCTAACATAAGGTACACCCTGCCCTCAAAAAGCAAGCAACTCATCTCTTAGGAAACCCAAAAGAACACACATACATACATATATATATATATATCGCTAGCTGTCGTCAGATGCGCTCAGGCAGGAAAGAGAAAAAAAAAAATAAAACTCCACCAAACATAATTATATACAGGGTGTC